TCAGGACGTAGGCGATCATGGCTCTCCACAACTTCCTGTCTTTTGTAACTCTAAATAAATTTTGTCTTTTTGTTATGTCCCCTAAACCCTGTTCCGCCATCCATTTACTCAAGCTCACTAAGTATGTTATACGTTGTTTTCCTCTGTCCCTCTTAACGTCAATCTGTCCTGTGAGTATCAGATTTTCCAAACTCGCTTTCCTCAGGATGAGCTCTAGAAATTCCAGCTGTTTCTTCCTGGTGTTAAGTTTAAGTATCCATTTTATTTTCATTTTCTACAAAATTTTGCTTAAACGTTCCGTTCATGGTATCCTCAGTATCCTTCTGAAGAATCACATTTCTGTTGCTTCAAGACTCTTCTTCATCTTTGAGGAGATTGTTCAGCATTCGAAGGACTTATATTAAACAACTGATTTCTATTTCTTAATGATCTGCTTAGCTTTTGGAATGCATCCTAATGCATCTTCTGTTGTCAGTGTCGTATTTTCCGTCCTTTCCCAGATATTTAATTTTTTCTACTTGATTGATTTTGGTATCTCCGATTTGCAATTCGCATTTTGCGCGCATCCTTTTGTTAACAACTATGCCTTTTGCCTTCTTGCAGTTGATGTATAATCCTTTCATCTCACTTTCCTTTACTACATTCTGTAGGAGTTTTTGCAGTTTTCATTCCATGCCTGTCATCAATACTGTGACATCTGCATATATTATACTGTTAAGATCGTATTTGCCAATAATGAATCTCGGCAGGACTTTTAATTCTCTTTCAATAGCCACGTTGTATAAGTTGAAAAAGTCCGGTGAGAAGACACATCCTTGTCTTAAATCCCTTTCTATTTTTGTATATATGCTGAACTAGTTTCCTATATGTCTGCAGTCGTTTTGATGCCAATACAGGTTCTGATAAATTCTAATATCCTTCCCAAATCTGTCAAAGTCGCTGAGCATTTCCAAACAACAAAGCATTCTGTCGTCTTGCAATTAATTTTAACAGAATTAATATGTTGACCCCTTGACCAGATGAACTGTCAAAATTAACCAAAACATATCAATTCATTCTCCATTTTCTTACGCCCGTCTACCTTGATTAATCTCAATCTCTTTCTCGCAATTAATATTCCCTTCTTTCTCTCTTTTGAAAACATCATTCTTCATTTATGTGCTACAGTTTTCGATACGCTTTTATGATAAATGGGAAGTAAATACACATTCCAAAAGAATTTCTTTTCTTTTTTTTTTCCCCGCTGGAAAACTTTCTGCACGCACCTAATGTAATGAAATATTTTTCTATCAAATATTGTTCTTTCTGTCTGTCAATCACCAAAGATATGGTGAAAGGTTTCTCATTTATACCCACTTCCAAATTTCTGTAGTCTGATTTCAAATATTGACTTTAGGAAATGGGCGAAACCGAAATATGTACTAAAGAATTTCGTGGGTATGTATGTATTTATGTATCTATCTATCCTGGTTTATTACCTACTATCTATCAGTCTCGGGCCATTATCTATCTATCTATCTATCTATCTATCTATCTATCTATCTATCTATCTATCTATCTATCTGATTCACTCCATTATCTTTCTATCCAGTATCATTAGCTATCTAGCTATAAATACTTAAATATATATATGTCCATTATCTATCTATCTATCTATCTATCTATCTATCTATCTATCTATCTATCTCGGTTCATTATCTCTCTCTCTCTCTCTCTATCTATCTATCTATCTATCTATCTATCTCATTCTGTCCATTATCTATCTATCTCGGGGTCATTAACTCTATATATATATATATATATATATATATATATATATATATATATATATATATATATATAAAAAAAAACAGACCACTTTAAGGTTCTATTATAATAATTTATTTCACCAGAGCCTTTTTTAAAGGACGCCGGATCGTCACATAGCTTTAACAAAAGGTGAAACGAAAAATGAAATGAAAATTGATGGGTAGTGTAAGGTTTTGTAATTTAACAGAGAGTGTAATAAGGAGTGGTTAGAGAGACATGGTAGAGTTTAGGGAGGGTTTAATTTAATATCTCTCTCAATCATACTTAGTATTGGGGGAGGAGGAGTGACCAGACGTTGAATTATTTAAACGGTTAACTTAACAGAAGTGATATATTTAAATGGGAGGGGAGAAGAGAGAAAAGAAAATAGAAAAAGAAAGAAGGGGGAAGTAAAGAGAAAAAGGCTGTAAATGTGTTTTACATATGAAAGAAAGGGGAGGTAAGTTTTAGCAATTTATGTAAAAAATAGATTTTAATGTTTGATAGTAATTTAGATGTCTAAAAAATCCCGAAGAAATTAATTTGATGCTTGCTAGCAATTTAAATATTTAACTTTTTTACAAATAATTTAGCGATTTAATATAAGTTAAATACTGTATTTATTAACACATTCATAGAGAACACATAAAAAAAAAAAATAAAAACTATAACAGTTTGGTTACCCGAACAATAGTACCCAATGAGATCTCAGGATTTCATCCTCCTTGGGATTACCCATACGGATTACCAAGTTTTTTCATAACTTTTTTATATATATATATATATATATATATATATATATATATATATATATATATATTACAATAAACGTGCAATCAATTTACAAATACATGAATTATTCATACAAAACTAATGCAAAGGTTAATGATTTAAATGGCAAGACATCCATCTTGCAAAACGATTCAAATAGTACACAAAAACCTCTAAATCCGTTATGCATGAGTTGATCCTTGTTTATATAAATTTCTGCCGTATTAGTTGTTATTTTTACTACAAGCTTTCGTCTGTTCCTACAGACATCGTCAGGTATATAATAGATGTTGTTCTTGGTTTTTTTCTCTTAGTAATAAGAGGACATCGAAAATATATGTGTATTGTATCCGAAATGCTATTAAAAAATGAGTTATTGGTTTTTGAACGCGCCAAAGCAACGCTGAGTTTGATTTTGAATTTTTTAAAATGTCTGCGTCTATACCAAATATGGTAATGAACAAATGTTTTTACTGGTAAATTTTTTAAATTTTTTAAATGCCACTTTGACAGAAAAAATTTGCATTAGTTTTGTATGAATAATTCATGTATATATATATATATATATATATCCATTTCCTATCTATCTATCTATTTAACTTAGTTTTATGTATATCTTCCACTCATTTGATAGGATTGAATCCAATAACTAAGCTGGGCAATCTACAGTATATCTGTTGAAATGTGATGTCAGTATTATTTTCATTTATGGTGTCATTTAGACGAGAAATTATCCATCGCACCCTGTATATCTATTAAAATGAGACCCCAGTGTTACTTTTCATGTTTGCGGCCGTTAGACGACAATTTATTAATCGCACCCTGTGTATTTGTTAAAATGAGATACCAGTTGCGTCATTCAGACGACAATTCATCCATCGCACCGTGTATTTTGTCTTGGTCTTTGAAATCATCAACTCAAAGACAAATGGAATGAGAAGAATCGAGATGATATTATTAATTAGCATCGCTAAATGGAGAGCTGACTACAATCTTGTAAAACATTTCAACTGTTCGAGATTCTGATATATATTTTTTTTTAATCTGATGAAGAAGACTTCAACACCCTTTATATCACTTATTATGAAATTTAAATTCTCGTTTATTTTAAATAGAAAATTTCGAAAAACAATAATTCCCATAGAAAATCTGAACTCTTCCATCATTGTGAATAGTCGATAATATTAAATAACATTTAAATGATGTAACGTCACTCTCATCTCAGTACATGAAGATTACGTTGTGCATGAAAATCCAAGTCGTACTACTAGTGAGGAAAATAATTAAGCACTTTTTTAATTATCACTGAAGCATATATAATATGCGATATATATATATATATATATATATATATATATATATATATATATATATATATATATATATATAACTCAGAATATATGTGGAGAAGGACAGAAAGATTACCGTGCCAAAATAAACTATATATATATCGGGCACCTCGAGGCGGTTAGCAAGCTTGTCGCGCTGAGTAGTGAGTTCGATCCTCACTGGATATACTTTCAGCCTTGCTCCACATCTAAGCAATGCTTGAAAATCATATATATATATATATATATATATATATATATATATATATATATATATATATATATATATATAGTGATTTTCCAAGCATACACCTGGATTCTTCCTCTTGGAATTTTATTAAAAAAAATATACATGTATGGGTATTTATATATTTTTGCATATGTATGTATATTTACCTCTAATATTATCTATCTATCTATCTATCTATCTATCTATATATATATATATATATATATATATATATATATATATATATATTACTAATATATTATTTCCAATATATATATATATATATTCATAATATATATATATATATATATATATATATATATATATATATATATATATAGATATAGATATAGATATTACCAATTTGTGAATGTTAGGGATAATTCCAAGCAGAATATTAATCCAGGGAGCGCTCAATGTAGACTACAGAGCATAATAACAATACTACTACTACTTCTACTACTACTACTAATAATAATAATCTAGAAGAAAATCTCAAAGAACCACATTTTAATGAAAAAGAATTCATGGCCGGGTCAGTCTTTTTAGGCCTACTACTAGCCATTCATTACTTCCTTCTTCCCTACCCTTTTCATACCCTCACTTTATCTCATTTTTTAAAAGAACTTAATCATCCGTCACTTTTCTTTTTCCCCTCCTTCTCTCTTCGTTTCTCTTTTTCCTTCCCTTCCCACTGTCAATCTAATATCTGTCTAGGGTATTGTTTCTATTTATTAAGAGATTTAGGTCTGAAGAGATGAATATATAGAGAGTTAGCAAAACAACAAACTTTATTAAGAGCTATAAAGGACGGGAGATTGTGGGACTTCATGGTCGGTCACGTCCTGAATGGACACGGCAAGAAGAAGAAGAAGAAGAAGAAGTTAAGGAAAAAGAAGGAGAGAAAGAAAAAGAAAGATAAAGAAAAGGAAAAGGAAGAAAAAGAAGAAAAAGAAGAAAAAAGGAGCCAACGAACAAGAAGATAAATAAAGAAGAAGAAATGGAGAAGAGAAAGAAAAGGAAGAAAAAGAAGAAAAGGAAGAAGAAGATAAAGAAGAAGAAAAAGAAAAAGAAGAAAGAGAACAAGATAAAGAAGAAGAAAAAAAAGAAGAAAAAAGAAGCCTAAGAAGAAGAAGAAATAGATAAAGAAGAAAAAGAAGAAGTAGAAGACAAACAAGAAGAGAAAGAAGAAGAGAAGAAGAAAAAGAGAAGAGAAAGAAAAAGAAAAAAGAAGGAGAAAGCGAAGAATAAGATAAAGAAGAAGAAGAAAAAATAAAAAAGGAAAAGAAGAAGAAAAGGAAGAAGAAGAAAAAAACGCAGAAGACGTAAAGGTTTAAGTTGTCATAATCTGTTTGAATTTTAAGATGATTTCATTATTAAGCCTCGTGTTTCCTATTGATGTGAACTGGAGCGACCATATCGAATCAATCGCTTCATCTACTGCAAGGAAAGTTGGGTCACTGTGCCACAATGTTTTTCTCGTCAGAATCCATCTTGCACATTTAAAAAATCAACAATTATTCCATACATCCATTGCTGATGTTATATCTGCTCTGATTCTCCTACTGTACATCTTGAGATTCTTGACAAAATCCAAAGATCTTTTATGTTATTGATCCTGAGCTGGCATCACATCTTTGGTCAATTCCTCACAGACGTAACGTGGCTTCCATCTGTCTTTTCTACAAATATTTCCATGGCAGAGGCTCTGACGAGTTTTTTCCCGAGTGTTCTGAATACATTAACTTAAGCGTACTACTAACATTGGCATTTAGGTCCTACATGTTTACTTTTGAAATAGCAATATATAATCGCGACTTCTGTGACAATAGTTCCTTTTCGCGCACTACCTATCTTTTGTTTACTTGCTTCCCTGATAACTACAATCCCCAAAAGCTTAAATGCAACGACAATCACCATTTTCTCTTTTCTTGAAACCCGGTCATTTTTCGTCCTTTCTTCAATCCTCTCTATTCTCAGTCACCTCTGTCTCTTTTACTTTCACTTTCACTTTTCATCTTTTTTTGTCATTTTTACTTTCACTTTCCGCTAACCCCTTCACTGAGCTCTCCCTTGATTAATATCCACATCGAGCTCTCCCTGGATTAATATCCTGCTTGGAATTATCCCTAACAATCTCAAATTGGTAATATATATATATATATATATATATATATATATATATATATATATATATATATATATATATATATATATATATATATATATATATATATATATATAATTACTCTGTCCTAGACATTGAGTTCTACCTGGATTCTTCCTCTTGGAAAAATTTTTCTGAAAATATACATGTATGGGTATTTATATATTTTGCATATGTATGTATATTTACCACTAATATTATCTATCTATCTATCTATCTATCTATATATATATATATATATATATATATATATATATATATATATATAAAATAGGAAATAACGCGTTACGTAAATAATCCAATGTTCTTTAGTATTTTTTTTTTTTTTTTTAAGTGCTCGATACAAGATGGAACAGAGCTTGGTACTTTAATTCAATTTAATTCAAATAATTATATTGAAGTTTCCGGCTCTTATTTTGAAACATGAGAACTCTTATATAGCGATGGAATAATATTTTTAAATAAATAAATATATATATATATATATATATATATATATATATATATATATATATATATATATTTAGGGCACATCTCATCGTTGTTTTCATTCTTGTCACAACATTCGAAATACTGTTCCATAGTTTATCGATTACGCTGAGAGGTGGAAATTTGAGATTATTCAACATGTCAGAAGAATGAAACGAAATGAATATGATAAAGAAAAAATCATGATTTTTTTTTTTAACCTCTGCGCAAATCCTATCAATTCCCTGCACAATGATCGATGTTCCTCTTTGTTTTCCTGGATATATTCGTATGTCAGTTGTCAGTTTTCCTATATCCCTTAATCCCTCGTTAATTTTATTTCAGCTCCGAAGAGAAACGGTGTTAAAACATGATACGGCCGTCAGACTAAAACACGGAAATAATAATAATAATAATAATAATAATAAAGCAATCAAAATACAAAGACATTAAAATCTAAATTTAAAAAATTGGGGACATAAAGACATCAACAGTTCCTGTAATAGTTGGAGCACTCGGATTGATTGGAAAAGATTTCTGGAGACTCAGGGATTCCTGATAGACTATGCCTTAAAGGAATACAAAAACAATGTTCTCACAAGTTCAGACCACATCTTACGAGGGGTTTTATTTATATAAAATATGTGAGCACAGTGGAAAATGTCATAATGGCATTTCTGACCTTAGGTCAATGGTTGGAACCTTGAAAGAAATGAGTATAGACCAGAAATCAAAGGAAATAAAAAAAAACAATAATTGTTATATAGTTCAGTCAAAGACAGGTTTTTGATGTGTACACGAAATAATATTTGGAGTAAAGGTCTGTAAAAATCGAAAATACTTTTTATGGTCCGGTTCCTTGTACAACGGTGATTATCCAAGGTAGAACCAATAAAGAAGAACTCGAACACAGATATGGAATAACACAGATATATTACAAACAGGAATATATACAGAGAAGTAGAAAGTGTTAGTACGAACAATCAGGTTTAGTAGTGATTGTCTGAACGCGACTCTGTTTCGGGCTGCCTCTGACTCGACTGACTGACTGACTCGCTCTGACTGACTAACAATCTCCTGACAACCTTCACTACAGACTTCAGGCTGGACAGTATTTATTTACCCCCACCACGAGGGGATCATGTGGGACAATGCCTTTTTAACGTGGGATCTCCGAGCACGTGGGCTCTGCCAAAAAGATGCCCTTTGAACCCGTTTATACGTGTTCAGGGTTGTTTACCTCCCCGAAAGAGACTCCGCCCTTCGGTGTAGCCTCGTTCGGGTTCCTCTCCACCCGAAGGCAGAGAGTTCAACAGATCAGCCGGTCGCCCGATTTCAGACTGAACGGTATTTAGTCACCCCCATCCACGAGGCCATCATGTGGCACAAAGCCGGTTTAACGTAGGATCTCCGAGCCCATGGGCTCGGCCAAACATATGCCCTTTGAACCCGTATAAACGTGATCAGGGTCGGTTTACCTCCCCGAAAGAGACTCCGCCCTTCGGCGTAGCCTCGTTCGGGTTCCTCCCCGCCCGAAGGCAGAGAGTTCAACCGATCAACCGGTCAGCCGGTCGCCCGAATTAGGACTGAACTCCCTGCTTCCTCTTGAGGCGCAGTATTTATTACGTATGGAATAGTCCATTATGTTATTATGGGTAACGTCCCATAACACTTTTGATACACACAGATATACAGGGTGTCCCAAAAAAGAACATCATATTGTAATCTAACAACATAGCCAATTCTTGCTCAAATTTAAACAGAATTTTTGAAAATTAAGTTTACTGTGTGGACTTATTTCAATGAGAATCTACCAGAAAGATGGATTAGGCGTGCCAGGGATAATGACAATGTGCTGTTGAAATGGCCACCTCGTTCACTTGACTGGACTCCTTGTGATTTTTTTTTCTATGGGGATAGATGAAAGGACAGGTCTATATCCAGCGACTTTATACAAGCCTAAGGGAAGTTAAGCAGAGAATCAATGTTACGCAAGACATGCTACGGCGTGTTTGGCAGGAGCTGGACTACCGACTTGATGTGTGTCCTGTCACAGGTGGTGCGCATATTAAACATTTGTGAAGCATTATGAAATCGGTTATAAAGTCTACATCCCACTGAACCTCTTGTTCGAAGTTCGATAAATAAATCTGTTATTGTTCAACATGAGCACTATTTAATTACGTTTGCCTCGGATATGTACTTAATCTGATATCCACATTTTAAATGATGTCAATGTTTTGAACACACCATGTATAATAAAAATATTAACAAATATATTGAGTTGAGTTTAATCTTGAGTTATTGTTATAGTACCTATTCTATTTTAATAGACTCTCCCACAGATAATAAGTAGCAGTGGCCAGTTGGGCTCAGTGGAGTTGAGCGAGTCAGTCGATATTGGACATTGAAGTACCAACCATCACAACTAGATTGCGGCGTCATTAACTCTTATTTCCAAGTTCCTAACGTTTTGTACGTCGAACCTAATTTAGGACGACTTATTGAAATACAAGCCTCCACTGTGAAAACTACTCTACAAGAGTTATTTACATGCAATAAGCGCAGAAGTAAATTGCTGTAAAAAGCGAATATACATTTGATACATACCAATATATATAATAATAATAATATAATGGAGTCAGATATAATCTTGAGATGTATACCCGAAATAAGCGAGTGTGTAAAGGTCTGTAAAAAGCGAAAATACGTTTGATACACCTCGATATATAATATTAAAAATATAATGGACTCAAAGATAATCTTGAGATATATACATGAAATAAGGGTCCGTGTAAAGGTCTGTAAAAAGCGAAAATACATTTGATACATACCAATATATAATAATAATAATAATAATGTTAAAAATATAATGCACTCAAAGATAATCTTGAGATGAATACATGAAATAAGGGTTCATGTAAAGGTCTGCAAAAAGCGAAAATATATTTGATACAAAACAATATATAATAATAATAATAATATTGAAAATATAATGGACTCAAAGATAATCTTGAGATGTATGGATGAAATAAGGGTTCGTTTAAAGGTCTGTAAAAAGCGAAAATACATTTGATACATACCAATATATAATAATAAAATTATAAATATAATGTCAGTCAGATATGTGCCATGGGTGATACACGCTTAGGCGATCATGTACCTTTACGAGACATGATTGACGAGGCAGATTTTTCGCCGCAGTAAACCAGTTGCCATCCAAGGTTGTAGAACTCGTTATATCCTGCTATTTACCCTTAGCTGGTGGGAGAAGAAGAGGATTCATCCCTATCCCAAGAACGTAAGTGTAATGGACTTGACTGGAATTCGAACTCGGCTCTCTGATTCTTCAATCCGAGCAGCTATCACTTATTCCACCGTGTCTATATAGTGTAGCTGAGGTTAATCTTGAGATTCATACGGTCGAATGCACATTAGATCTAACTACCGTTCCTCTTGCTCAGAGGGCTGTAGGTTCGAATCCTGCTGGAGAACGCATAATTTCCTCTCTCAAATATTCAAGCGAAAATATACTGTTGAATAAATAAACGTAGCGTCTACTCAAATACGAATGTCCATTAAAAATAACGTTTAAAGTGATAAAATCTGTCGAATTAATAAATAATAATGCATTACTTCTTTTTATATATATAGATGTGTGTATGAAATACATTTGATACAAGATAATATTTCATCACATAATTCAAATATCTTAGGACTGAGTCCGAGCATTTTGGGTTTTCGTTTTGTTATTCGGGCTCCAACTCAATTTGGCACGGCAAAGGCTCCCTCATAAATCACAAGCAAGAAACAACACCCCAAGCTGACATTTTGCTCCCGCTAATTTCCTGTCACGTGATACGAGGTCATAATACAACGGACGAAACGAAAATAGACCGACCCATTAAGAAATTAATAGCAACTCTTAAGCGTTTTCTGAAACAACACTTGGATCCGTCGCTATTTTCTGCTTTGCTAGAGGTGGAAAAAGAAATAATCTTGCTTCAGTTTTATGACCTTGTCAGTTAGAGCCTGCGTGAATTAAATAAAAAAAAAAAGACTGAAATACTTTGGCGAGAAATACAATATGGAAATTACAAAAATATGGCATCTGAACACAGTTCCAGTAATAAGAGGATAACTTGGAATGTCTAAAGGAACACGGATACAAATATTGGGTTGGTGCATAATTATCAGGCATTTTTATAGGCGTGTTATTTGTTAATAAAAATTACTGTTTTGTTTCCTTTTTTTTTAATAAAAATATTTTATTTTCGGGTTATAAAAATACGTGTCGATAATGATAGGCCCCGGAATAATCATTTAAAGATGTTAATTGTTGAATTGTTATGTTTCTTTTTTCATAATAAATATTACATAAAAAACGCTTGATAATTATGCACCAACACAACATTAACAAAATCCAAGAAAACTATGTGATATTCATTCTCTTATATGACAGTGGATGTTGGATAATTCCCGTACGACAGCCAACAATAATGAAACGTTTATTTTTAATCAGTATCACCTTATGCAAGGCAATAAATCCACTATGACACAAGGGGCTTCTGTGTGCGGTAGAATTAAGAACAGAAACAATAATGATGAGAAGAAAAACAAAAGAGTAATCAGGGAGACAGTAGATAGCGATGGACATTGGATTTAAATTTTTTCAGATTAAAGTTGGCTCAAAAGCAGGGAGCCGGAAAGGGGTTCCACAGGCGAGAAATACGAGAAAAGAAACTGTTAGAATAGAAGTTACGGTTACATCTAGCCAGCTCAACTGTGAATAGATGAGGCCTCAACGCCAGTCTAGTACTGCGCTTAAATTCAAAAAGTCTCGTTATAGAGATATCAATTCTGCTATGTACAGAAATGTGGCACAAGGCCAAAAAAGCGGAATGGGGAAAAGAACGCTCTTCTTCTGTTTTAACGCTAAACTTAGCCAGCCGCAAATACTGACCAAAACATCCAATAATATTCCTTACACCACAGCAACGAACTCTTACTTACCTTTCTTACTACATTCCCCATAATACCTCTTGTCTCTATGAAAGTCCTAACTATTCCCCTTAGGCACAATTCAATGTCTGTGGTGGTGGTGGGGGGATAAAACAACAATGTAAAAACTAACCCTAATGTCTACTTACAAAAAGTACAAAACTATTTACAAGAAACTAAATAATACAATACAATAGTATAATAGTGAAGATCGATATGTATTTGTAAATATTTACAAAATGTGGCACAAGGCCAAAATGAGAAATGGGAGAAAAGGACAGTCTTCATATGTCTTAACTTTAAACTTTGCCACAAACACTAACCCAAACATACCACAATATTCCTAACACCAAAACAACACATTCTTACTTACCTTTTTTTACAACATTCACCATAATGCCTCATTGTCTCTATAAAAATCCTAACTAGTCCCCATATGCAAAATTCATTATGTCTTTGTATATTTGTATGTGGGTATGTAAATAAAAAGTTTTCCTAGATAACTAATATACAAAATCTGATAGTTTTCTGATCTTACTTATTATAAAACGCAGATTGTGTGTGTGTGTGTGTGTGTGTGTGTACGTGTATATATTGAATCGGATTTCCTACATTTTTCAACCGATTTCAACAAAACTTCACAGGACTGCGTAAAATTACTCTGCGGTGGTTCTGACAGCGCCAAAAATCGGAAAAAATACAATTGTTTTTGCACTAAATCAATTTGAAAACACGATAAAACACGATTCTGTTGTCAGAATGAAAGGGGGACAACTCATATTGAGTTATACTTATTATAAAACCCAGGTTGTGTGTGTGTGTGTGAGTGTGTGTGTGTGTTCTTTTATATATAGGATCGGATTTCCTACATTTTTCAACCGATTTCAACAAAACTTCACTTGTTTTTGGCAGGTAGTGTTTCTTATTGTGTTACACACTTTTTTCTTTATTTTTACATTCAGAATGCTTTAAAAATTCCATTTACAAGACTATTGTTTATAATAAAATTCTATTCAATCGATAGTCTCATAATGATTGAAAACAATGTTTTTGTTTGGGTTTGACCAATTCTAAAAAAACAAACAAAAAAAAAAAACAAATTAAGACATGCGTGTCCGTCAACCTTAAACAATAATCTTTGTCAATTGTATTTTTCAGTCTTTATGATAGTCGATACTTGATCTATCTCTTTCTGTTACATCCCCAGGCAACGCCGGGCTCTACTGCTAGTATTTTATATGGCTAGGTATATATGTAGACTTAATAGATGTATACGCCTTAATCACTCCGTGTTTTTGTTTTTTTTAAATATTGTTAACGTTTTCTTCCTCAGTAGTTTTTTAAGTACAAATTAGTTTAATTCTACCTATCTAATTTTATATGTTAAATGTATGTATAGATGGATGTGCGTTTTTTTCTTTACCTTTTACTTTTTAATTATATATATATATATATATATATATATATATATATATACGTAGTATATTTGTTTAGATGAGTGTGTGCACGTATATGTGTGTAAGGTTTTATGTATATGTGTTTGTGCGCACATATGTGTATGTCTATGTGTATATGCGTGCATGTGTATATGTATCCATGAGTGTATGTGTATTTATATATATGTTCACACGTATATATACATGTGTGTATGTACGATTATGTATACATATGTTGTTGGGTATATGTGTATCTACGTATATATTTTGGGGCATATAAATAGGAGGTCTTTACTCGATAAATGTCATTATATGTTTATGTTTCCTTTGTAACCTGTAGGTGATATTACTTGCTTTGTCTAATTATTCTTGATTACACATCACTTTTCTTATAAATGCCCTCGTTGTTAGTTTGCGCACCCCCCCCAAAACACACACACACATACTATTTCCTCTCTCTTTCTCTCTCATCTTCTTATTTCTTGTATGAATAAGGTTAGTAATGCAAAGCAGACGGAATGTTTTCACATTCATCAGCAATATGTATTGGCTGGATTTTAAGTTTAGAGAATATCGTTTTTTAGTGTGTCACCACAAATGTATGCACACTTTTCCGGTGACTGTTTTTTAATTTTAATTTTAGCTCAGCGAATCGGTAGTGACTTATGCATCAGAAAATAATTCATATTTATCTGTATTTCACTCATTTATACCGTTATTTAACTCCTCTCTTTAAAACTTCTCTCTGTTAAATTTTAATCCCCACTTTCACCTTTAGGCCTTTCCTTTTCTTCTTTCTTCTGTTACACCCTCTCTCTAGAGCTTTCATACATTTCCCTCTCACACTTGTTTCCCACTCCCACACATACACACTCACTAAAATTTTAGTTTTTTATACCCGGAGTTATATTTTCCGATTTCTTCTTGAATTTCTAGGTCTGATGAATTGGATCGTGATTATGATTCCAATGTAATAAATTATAACCATGGAATATTAGTGTTTGAGCATTATATATATATATATATATATAGTTATTTTTTTTATAAAAAAAAGAGACTTATAACATAAATATGTTATAAAATCACTACAAAAATAGCCATTTTGTTTCAACACCCTCTGTGTCATATCAATTGATGATGTTGAATATACTTTGTATTGAGCACTCTTTTAAGAATAGTAATTGTTGGTTATTGGAATTCATTCCGTATACACCAATTATATATTTGTGTATATATATATATATATATATATATATATATATATATATATATATATATATATATATATTATGCAGGAGATAAAAATTTAAAAAGACTCAAAAATACTAATATATCCCCCACTGATCCAAGTAAAAACATAGACTTAATGATATACTATACCAAATTTAATACAATCACCCTAGTCATCCATAACAACTCAGCCACGTGAATTGGCGTCGTGCAAAAGACCAACATTGTATACCAACATTTGAAGATTGCATCTCTGATAAAAATGTTAATACGTATGTTGGTTTTACAACAACGACGATGACAAGAAGACTTACGTCTCACTTGAAAGATCACCATTCAATCTCAGAACACTCATGTCCACATTCTCAGTTTAGACAAATGTTTTGTTTAATTAAAAATGGAGTATTTACTGAAATACACTGCATCTATAAAAATAACTTCTCACAAAAACTTTTTCAACTTTTCGTAGAATTTCTTCAATTATTGTTCTTGATATATAATATATATCTATTTACTTCATTTACTGGAACTGTGTTTAAATGCCATATTTTTGCAATTTCCATATTGAAATTCTTGCCAATAATATTTCCCACATTTCTTTTTAAATTCACGCAGGCTCTGACAAGGTCATAAAACTGAAGAAAGATTATTTCTATTTCCCGCTCTAGCAAAGCAGAAAATAGCGACGGATATTGACCTAAACATCCAGTGGTTACAGTCTGTTTCATGCTTAAACGCAATCGACAAGCCAAACACATGAAACAGACTGTTGACTTCAATATTTACATACGTTATAGCACATTAAATATATTTATTTCGTCAACCTGGCAAAATTGTTCTAGTTCCATTGCCATGTCTCTTCCGGATGTAGCAGGTGTCTCCCTTTGACTCAACTAAGTTTTTGTTTGTTAGACATTTTCATGACGGTCGTCCTCGACTATAAAGGGAAATAAGTCATTCTGACTCGCTCACTAGTTACATACGGCATATACCCAAAATAAGGGGGGCTGTTACGGTTTTTTGGGTATATGCCGTATGTAACTAGTGAGCGAGTCCGAATGACTT